CCCCCCCCCCCCCCCCCCGTGCCAGTGATGCAATCCGCAGCCTGACAAAATGGGCCGGCCCATCGAGCGCCGGGTCCGGGGCGGCCGGCAGCAGCGCCGGGAGCGAGGCCCAAGTGCCGGACACCTCCGTGCGCGGCAAGGCCGCCGCAGGGCATTGCAGGCCTCCCCGCCCATACCTGTGCATCCCCCCCCCCCCCGCCCGCCCCGGCGGCTGGTGGCAGTTAACCTTCGGGTGCACGGGGACAAGGAGCCTGGCGGTCGACTCGCGAGCACTCGGCCACCCGGCCCCTCTCGCGCCGTGTGCGGCTGGGCGCCGGTTTGACTCGGTGAGACCGCGGACCTGGGGCAGCTCGGCGGGGGTGCGCACCAAAAAAAAGCCGCATATCCGCCTCTTCCGGCCCATTTTTCTGTATGTCCCCCCCCCCCGGGGGGGGGGGGGGGGGGGCGGAGGCAGCGACAAGGCAGAGGCCGCCATTTCCCGCGGCCCTGAGAATTTGAAGGAGATACTCCCCCCCCCCCCCCCCCCCCGGGTGGCCCTCAGGGGCGATGGCGAGGACTTCACCACGGACGCGTCCTGGCGTATGTCGCCCCCTCGGGCGGCTGATATTCGGGGTTGCCCGGGCGGGGGCCGCGCCTCGAGAGCACGCGCGCGCATTGGGGGCTGGATTTCCGCGCGCGTGCGCGCCACGCGCACATGCGCCGAGCCGGCCCCCTCGTCCGCCGTCCGTGTCCGGGGGCAAGGGCGGCCGGTTGTGTTCCTGCCTTGGCGCGGGCGGTGCACTCAACCGGATCCTGAGGTCCAATCCCATCCCTCTTCCCCACGCCCCGCCCCCCGCGCCCCCCGCCGGTCGGGAGGCGAGGGGAGGGCCGCTTGGACCGAACACGGGCCCTGGTTCCCCCTCCCCCCCCCCCCCATCCCCTGTGTACGCGCAACACGCGTGTTTCCGAAGGGAGAAACATGGCCGCCCGTGCGTGCGCCTGTGTCATATAATTATATTTTTTGTATCGCGCCCGCCCCCGTCCATATGCCCATCCTTTTTCACCGCCGCGGCCGGGGTAAAAATGCCGGGGAGGGGAAACGGCCTCCGCCGCCCGCTGGCCGCCGCCCGCGGTGTGCGCGAGTTTCGCGAGAGATGCCAACGCCCTCGGAATCACGCCGCCGCCAGCCTGAGACGGCAAGTCACACCATATGGTACCTGATCACACAGTGGTGGCAGGCATTTCTCGCTGACCTGTGGGGAGAAGATCCCCTCAGAGGGACGCTAGCCAGATCTCTCCTTCTCTCTCTCTCCCCGCCCCTCATCTCCCCCCCCCCTAGCTCCGGCATCTGCCCGATCGCGCCTAGACTTCTTGCCC